GTTGAATACTATGCTGGCTGTGGGTTTGTTATATAGCTTTTATTATGTTGAGATATGTTCCCTCTATACTCACTTTGGTGAGAGTTTTTTTTTTTAATAATAAATGGGTGTTGAATTTTATCAAATGCTTCTTCTGCATTTATTGAGATGATCATGCAGTTTTTGTCCTTTTTCTTGTTGATGTGATGTATTACACTGACTGATTTGCGTATGTTGAACCATCCTTGTGTCCCTGAGATGAACCCAACTTGATTATGGTATATAATCTCTTTTTATGTGCTGTTGGATTCTGTTTGCTAATATTTTGTTGAGGATTTTTGCATCTATGTTCATCAGAAACAAGCTTGCAGTTCTCTGATCCATAGGCTCCTCAGAGATTGGAGTCAGAGATTACAGTAATAGGGAGGAGTCAGCAAAGGATTCCAATAGCTGAGCAATACCTTAAGGAGGGGTGTCTATTCCAGCAACATTTCACACATGCACAAGGATGACAGGCTGTCTTTTCCAAAGATGGCCACAACCACAGCTTCCATTTCACATGCTCTTTTATAAAGTGATCTTGACACTCCTACCATCAATATATAGGGTCTGTTTCCTCCCCTTGAATCTGGGTGGGTTTTTGACTCTCCTGTAACTAATACCTAACAGAATACAGCTGAAGCAATGCTACATGATTTTAGAAGCTAGGTAAGGAAAAGCAATGCAATTCCACATTGTTTGCTGAAACTCTTACTTCTGGAGCCCTGAGCTGCCATCAAAAAGTCCTACTACTCTAAGGATGGTATACTTTGGGTGAAGAAGCCCAAATCATAGGGAGAAACCACTTATAGATGCTCCAGTCAGCAATCCTGGTCCTTGAGTCCTTCTAGTATAATGCCAGAAATCTGAGTAAACATTCCAGATCACCCAGTCCCAGCTGTCAATACCCAGGCTTTGAGTCTTCCCAGTTCAACCACTGACATCAGGCAGCAAACAAACTATTCCTACTATGCTCTGTCCAAATTCCTGACCCATTTAATACAATGAGCATATTAAACAATTTTTAAGCAGCCAAATTTTGGGGCAGTTATGCAGCAATAGTAATTTATCCAACAGGGTACTTGAAAAATTGGTGTGTACTAGTCTAATATTAGTCTCATCTTCTTATGTAAAAGATCAAGTGTGCTACATTTTTTTTCTTTTCTGACCTATATATATAGTATGTAAAACTTAAGACCTTTAAATAGATAAACAAGTTTATACTGTATGGCACAGGGAACTATATTCAATACCTTGTAGTAGCTTACAGTGAAAAAGAAAATGAAAATGAATATATGTATATTCACGTATGATTGGGGCATTGTGCTGTACATGGAAATTGACACAACACTGTAAACTGACTATACCTCAATTAAAAACAAAATCTTCGGTTCAAAATTTGATACATATCAAAAATAAATTATATAATAAAGTCTTCTTGAATGGTCTGGAATTACTGATTCCTACACATGGGGGAGAGGAGGTAAGAAAGACAAAAGTATCTAAAATGGCTTACAGATTTCTACCTTTCATGGCAGACTAGATGTTATTACCACAGCCACGCAGAAGAAGCTAGTAAGGTTGGGAAAGGAGAGGTATGAAGTCAGCTTTAGTTACAGCTGTAGGTCATTTATCCCTTTAAATACTTTCAGTAGGTAACTGGAGATAAATACTAAGCACAAATAAGGAGTCTAAATTATAAGGCGTTCAGAACCATTAAGAGGTGGTTGGTAGAATACAGTAGAGTTTACAAAGAGAAAGAAGACTGAAGGCAGGATATTTGGAAATACCACTGTTAGAGTCATGTGAAGGAAGATGAATCCATAAAGGAGACTAATTTATTCATTCATCCACTTATCAAATATTCATTGTGTCTGTTTACTATGTCCCAGGCATTGGAGACACCACCTTAAACAAGATAAAAGATGGCTGTATGTTCAAGAAGACTATCACCTACTGGGGAGATACAGACAACATAAACTCAATTAAACTGAAGTGATATGGACAGTCCTAACCAGGACCTTCCCAACCAGGAGGTTGGGAAGACTTCCCAAAAGCTGAGTTGAACAGACACCTCATGCATGAATTAATAGGAGTATACCAGGCAAAAGGAGCGGGTGATGGTGCAAAGGGTAGAGAAAGAACTACAAACAGAAAACACTTGTGCAAATCGTTCCACAACAAAAGATATTTAAGGAATAAAAGGCCAGTGTAGCCAAAGCACAGAGTGTGATGTTGGACTGGTAAAAGTGTTTGGTCTTTACCCAAAGAGCTGTGAGAAACCATTCCAAGATTTTGTAAGAGTGTGTCTAGAAATTTTCATTTCTGAAAGATCATTACTGTTAGACACTGGATTGGAGAGGCAAGGAAACTGAAAGCATACAAACCAGTTAAGAGTCTGGGAAAGTAATCTAGGCAAGAGATGGTGGTGGCCTGAACTAGATTTGTGGCAGAGGGGAAGGAAGAGTGAACAGATTCGACATTTTGTAAGAAAAAGATGAGGATGCTCTCTATGTACTAGTACGAAAATCTTTTAGACATATACCAAAAAAAAAAGGTGCAGAAAAGTGTGGGTGCTACTTTTTATCTGTAAAAGGGGTGGGGGGGAGGATCCCTTTTATATTTGTTTGAATATGCATAAATCATCTATAGAGACCACAATCTAAGCACACTGGTTATCTCCTGAGCAGAAGGTTTTCATGGGACAGACAGTGGACAAGAGTAAGACCTTACACTTTTTAAACATTTTTATATTTCCTAGCTTATGAATAATGAGAATATATTACCTACTCAAAAAATTAAGCTAAACGGGAGAGGGAAATAGCTCAGTGGCAGAGCACATGCTTAGCATGCACAAGGCCCTGGGTTCAATCCCCAGTACCTCCATTCAAAAATAAAATGGAGAAGGTATAGCTCAGTGGTAGAGCATGTGCTTAACATCCATGAGGTCCTGGGTTCAATCCCCAGTACCTCCATGTAAACAAACAAACAAATCTAATTAACCCCTCCATAAAAATAAGTAATAAAAACTTACAAAAAATTAAGCTAAAAAAACTTTCTAAAAAATTTTTTCTGAGACAGGACTTAAGAAAAAAAAGAATACAATGATGCTAACACATTTCTAGACCAAAGATAAAAATGAGACAAGAGATGTTTAAACAGTGTAGTTTAACAGTTTAGTTTCTGCTTCTGTTAGGTAGTTTAGATAGAAATGAGCATTGGGCAAGGGGAGAGGAAGGGGAAAGGAACAACTCAGAACACAAGGAATCTGAGCTGTCAATTAACCAGAACACAAGGAACCTGAGCTGTCAATCAACCAGAGCACAGAGAACCTGAGTTGTCAATCAATTAATCAATCAATCACGAAACCAGGATATAAGGACAGGAAAAACAAAGGAAAGGCATCATTTTTCCTCACTGGGTTTGGGCCGCCCCCAATTCTTAAGAGTGTACTATTCACTTTTTTTTTTTTACTTTTACTTTCTCCATTAAGTAGCTGAGGGAATAAATAGAAATGTGAGGGGTGGACACGAGATCAGGAGCTAGAAGAAAATGAAGTTTGAAATAGTAGCTGTGGAAAGTGGAAGGGAAAGCAATAAAAATACATAATGAAAATACACTACACATGACTAAAAATTCTGCAAGTTAAAGGGAAAAAAACGGTATATTGGCCCTGTTCAGTAAAATACATACCACCTAGAATTCTGTCATCTTGTGAAAGGAAGAAATGTATCTTTTAAGATAATTTATTTGGCACAGGACAGCGTGAAGAAATGCCAAACTAGACCCATCCCTTCCCCTACATCCAACACATAAGCACTATACTTCTTATCCCCGGCGTATTTTCAGAGCCTAACACAATGCCTGGCACAGGGTTACGCTCAAAAATTCAACTATTCAATAAATCCACTAGGTCTGGCCTCACGGGAAATCGAGGAGCCCTTTGCTTCAGACAAAAATCAAAACAACGGTTATTTGCCGTATGGTTCTGCACGCTATTTCAATACAGGAAGGGAGCGTCAGGTTTATTCAGGAGCAGGTAGGAGACAAAAACTCTCCCTGACTGAGATTACTACGTTTCCTGCACCCTCCACCTCTTGCAGTAACGGATTCGCTCCGGGCCTAGGGAATGTAAGGGAAACGTCTGTAAACGCTGCGCGGCGGGCCGGAAAAGAGGCCCCAAATCCTGTTCGTCCAGCTCCCCACGTTTCCCTCCTTACGTGGGTCGCCGCGGAGTGTTCACCTACCCTCGTCCGCGTCATACATGTTGGCAAACGGTTCCCGAGCTCCAAACTCTAGAAGTCACAGAGAACAGCGCGCAGCAACCGCCGACATCCACAGCGTGAGGCGAAGTGATTTCCGCCTCTGGTGTTCCCAGAATACTCTGCGTCCCAAGCAAAACTCCGCCCACAAAGACGTCATTGTAAAGTCTGCGCCTGTGCGAAGTTTAAGCAAAGGTTCCCGAAGTGTTAGTATGCACATGCACAATTTGCAGTTCCCCGCTTCTGTAGCTTACGGCGAGGACCACTCCTACTACTGTCTCAGTGTTGGATCCAGCCAATGACAGTTTTTGTTTTCAATGTTGTTGCACATATAATGGCACCTGGAAAAAAAATAGAAAGAATCTATACTAATAGGTTTTAGATTGAGCTGTGAGTGTGCAACATTCGATGCTTTTTTTAGTTCAAAGACTTAAAAACACGAAACTTTAAAACCGATTTCTGTATACATCAACTATACCTCAATTTTTTTAAAGGTTCAAAAGTGTGATTTCTGAACGGCAGGTAAGTGCCGACGGTAGCGCGTTGAAGAAGTCTGAAAGTGAACAAACCCTCACTCAGTTAACTAACCTTTTCGGCCAACCTAGCCCTTTTCTGCCAACCTAGCTCAGCCTAAGTCCCTGGTACTTTTACCTCCGCGTTAAGTGTGTTTCCAGGCCACAGAACTCTCATCGCGAGAACTCACGACATTAGATTTAGGAGGAGGAGCGGAAGTGCGCCAACTGACAAATGACTGCTCTCAGGTAGTCCCGGGCTTTCCTCCAGTGATTAACGCGACTCTGGGGCCTCAGTGCGCATGCGAGCAGGTGGCCCCGCCCCTTTGCCCGCGTTCGCGTCTCTCATGCTGCCCGCCCGTTTCACGTCTAGGCTGCTATGCAGGGTCCTGCGGGGATCCGCTCTCATGGTAGTACGCCATGGCCTCCGGGAGGCGCTTCTGGAGAGAAGATGCGCCGCCGGCTGCTCCCAGCGCCCATCGGGCCTGGGTCGTGGGCCTCCCTGTGGCCCGACAGCGACTGGGGGTTACAAGGGAAGTGCTGACATGGAGGAGCATTTTCTGTTCCCCGAGTACGTCCCGGAGCCGGAGCCCGCACTGAGCCTCCAACACCAGCTGCAGGAGCTGCAGCAGCGGCAGGAGGAAGAGGAGCAACAGAGGCAACAGCGGCGGGAGGAGCGGCGGCTACGGAAGCTAAGGGCGAGCGGGCGAGTGCACCCGGTGGTGGGGCACCCGGACCCGACGGTGCCGCCTAGCGGCCTGAACTGTTCGGGCTGCGGGGCGGAACTGCACTGCCAGGACCCCGGCTTGCCCGGCTACCTGCCCAGCGAGAAATTCAGCGCGGCGGCGCAGACCGAAGACGGGCTGGCGCGGACGGTGTGCCAGCGCTGCTGGCTGCTGGTTCATCACCGGCGCGCCCTGCGTCTGCAGGTGAGCCACGAGCAGTACTTGGAGCTGGTGAGCGCCGCACTGCGGCGGCCCGAGCCCTCCCTGGTGCTCTACATGGTGGACCTCCTCGATCTGCCGGACAACTTGCTGCCTCACCTGCCCGCGATGGTGGGCCCCAAGCAGCTGATCGTGCTAGGAAACAAGGTGGACCTGCTGCCCCAGGATACTCCTGGTTACCGGCAGCGGCTCCGGGAGCGACTGTGGGACGATTGTGCCCGCGCCGGGCTCCTGCCGCCCCCTGGCTACCGAAGGCCACAACATCCCAGCAGGGACCGGCCTAGGGACGGGGAGGAGAATGCGACTCCTTCGACCAAGTCCCGCACGGTGCTCAGGGACGTGCGGCTCATCAGCGCCAAGACTGGCTATGGAGTCGAAGAATTGATCTCCGTGCTCCAGCGCTCCTGGCGCTACCGTGGCGACGTCTACTTGGTTGGCGCCACCAACACTGGCAAGTCCACTCTCTTCAACACGCTCTTGGAGTCAGATTACTGCATCGCCAAGGGTGCTGAGGCTATCGACAGGGCCACCATCTCCCCTTGGCCTGGTGAGCATTAGGCGGCCCGTCCCCTTGGTCTTCTGAGAAGTCTGGTCGCGATTCAGGCACCTAGTACTATATCCTTCCTTTGTGTACACCAGAGGCTGATTGGAGCCTTCCCTTGAAAAATTCTCTGCCTACTTAGTCACACCTTTGTTCTGTGTCAGTTTAGTGCTAGGAAATACAGTATATGTTGTGACTTTCCAAAAGAAATAATTAAGAGTACTTCTGTGTTCCAGTCACTGTTCTGGCACCTATAGGGGACACAGGGAAGTTCCTGCTGTCTTGGAGGTTTCCCTTGTAGCTTTAGTTCTTTGTATGTTTCTCCAAAAAGTCCTTTTACTTTCTAAACCTCTCTCCACCCCCTCAGTCTTACTCTTCATGTCTTCAGTTTATTCACGACATCTGTATACCATACACATTTAACATTTGAATAATTCACTAATGCAGCATGGTACATGACTTTGTAGAGAGGAAATGTCAACTTTGTGGCTTTAAGGAATGTCTGTGGTAACTGCAAAATGAGTCCTTCTGTGACCCTGTTTGTATCTAACAGTTGGCAAAAGGAACTACTTCGTTTGTTCCTTTGAAACCAGTGTTTAACTTTGCTTGATAAGCTGTACTTCTCTGTCCTGGACTTTGGTTGACTTATACATAGAAGTGCTTTTATAATGGTTAGTAGTATGGAGAAGATGGGAAGAGAACAGGCCTATAGATTTTGTATTCAAATCCTGGTTGAGCCTGTGAGCCAATCTCTTGAGTTTACTTCCTCATCTGTAAAGTAAGGATAATCTTGTAGAGAATTGCCCTGAAAGTTAAGAGAAATAATCACAGTACCCAAGACAGCGTAGCTCCTCATAAATGTTAGTTTTACTCCATTTTCTTGTACAATGTTTATAATAACGTATTTATTCTTTGGTATTTTAGGTACTACCTTAAATCTCCTGAAGTTTCCTATCTGTAACCCAACCCCTTACAGAATGTTTCAAAGGCAAAAAAGGCTTGAAAGAAATGCATCTGAAGTGGAAAAAGATCTTAGCCAGCAAGAACAAAACCAACTTAATGTCTTGAAAAAGCATGGTTATGTAGTAGGTAAGCACCTTCTATAGCAAAAGTCTTATTGGGTCTATGCTAAAATTCTTTGTTGAGCAACCTGAACTACAGCTCTGTGGGGCTAGCCAGTTTTGGAGGGAGAAATTAGTCATTTTGGAACACAGAGTTCCTTTTAGAGGCAAGGCTAATGTTTGGAAATCCAGAATTCATTGCACTGGGAAAGTTGAGACAGTAGATATTAAAGGAAGCAAAAGGAAGGAAAGGAAGCGTGAATAACTGCCTCCTATTGTCAGTGGTAGAAGCATTTTCACCAAGATTCGAGCCCCCTCCTTGCAAACCAGTACAGGCTGTTGAACTGTACCGGCTTTAAAGTGGATGGTCCCTCTTCCCTTGGTATCTTTTTTCAACCTTCTTTACTAAAAACAGTTTGATTTCCAACACTATCACCCCACACCCCCAATCCCCCCACTTAGTATGCACAGCCATACATACATACTTGGTCAGTGTAAGAGTCTGACTCTCACTGCCTTTAGAAATAAAGCAAAAGTATCATTGTAGTCTTACTTCCTTCCATACACCATAGTCTTAGTAACTTGTTTGAGGCAAACATAAGAATTATCTGTCTTGAGTCAAAATCTTTAAAGGAGTAACTACTAACTTCAGTATAACTTGTTCTAGGAAGAGTTGGAAGAACATTCTTGTATTCAGAAGAGCAGAAGGATGAAGCTACCTTCGAGTTTGATGCTGATTCACTTGCCTTTGACATGGGAAATGAACCTCTTACAGTTGCAGCTAAACCCACCAAACGAGTAGAATTAACCCCACAAGATGTGAAAGATGCCCACTGGTTTTACGACACCCCTGGAATTTCAAAAGAAAATTGTGTATGTATTTGACGTGTTTTAGAAACATTAACTTTTAATTGTACAACTACTCTCTTAATTGGCAAAAAAGAGGTGCCCTTTTCTTTTAGACTCAGTTCTGATTCACTCATAGAACCGGTTCAGAGATGAATCTATAAACCATCAAGTTCTATATGCCATTTGGTAGGCTTCACTGCTGACAACCTACTTACATCTTTGGGGTTATAATACCTAAAATCCCAACCTACTTATAACTTTTGTGGTTATAGTACCTAAAATACCAACCTTAGTGAGGGAGACATTTACAGAATCCTAGATTTTGAGGTTGAAAGAAATAAATATCACTACAGTCCAGTCACCTGTTTCATGCTTGAATTCCCTCTATAACATATCCATCAAGCAGTGAACCCAGCATGACTCGCATTCACCTGAAACAGTGTCACCTCACCTTCCAAGGTCAGCTCTTTGGTCTTTGACTGCTCTTTGTATTGAGCTGAGCAGTCTCCCTGTCACTTGTCCTCCTTGTTCCCTAAAGCTGTACAGAACAAATGTAATGCCTCTTTACTTTTCCAGACTTTGAAGTATTTTAAAGTATACTGTTCTCTCTCTCCTTCATTCTACCCTTTTTTTCTTTCACTGGTTCATCCGACAAAGATGGAGTACTTACTGTGCTGACATAATCCAGACGATTTGTCTTCATTTCCTATAGCTATTCTCTTTGATGGGCTAGTGATGAACACAAACCCTTTGTCACAATGATTTCTAATTTGTTTTTGTTCTTAAAGTATGACATAAACAACTAAATTTCTTGTATAAGTGCCTCAGATGAGCCTAATTTAGAATAGGATTAACTCTATCTATCTTGTTTTTGCACATATTTTTAAATTACTTGCAGAATCTCCTGGGCAATTTGGATTTTATCTTCAATTAAGCCTATATCCTACATGCTCATTAAATCTAACCTTTTATTCATCTGCAGTTTGGATCATCATCCAAGTCATCAATTGAGTCAAGTGTGCATTTAGGATACAGCCTTACAACAGATCCATTAATCAGCTTCCTCTGAATCTGGTTACTGACCAGGTTCTAATTTACCTAATTGTCTATGTATAGTTCTGTGAAACAACATTAGATTCTTAAGTATTTTTCCTCCCTTTTGCCTCATCAGAATCACTTATCGTTTCATTCTCAGAATTGTATTCTATCTGGTGTCTGCATATAGGTCTTTTAACCTTTTTTGCCTTCTACAATAATTGTTTGTGTCCAGTCTTTTCTTCTTTAGCAATCCAGAACTTCAGAGCAACTGCACTGCTTCCTAGTAATGTTCTGTCACTTTAACTTCACCAATTCATTCTCCCCTTTTAGACTCAGGTCAGGGATAGCAGTTACTTTGGTCATGTGTACCCTCTAGTCAATTAGTCAGAAAGGCAAGAACCCAGCAGTGAGACCTGCAAGGTTTTAAATATAAAAGTTCTTTCAGGCAGTAGGATTCAGTGTCAGTTTATTGATCTATTTATTTGATGCCTTCAACCAGTGTTTCCTAACTGAACCAAGGAACTCTGTTGTGAAATGGAAGTATTAGGGTCTCTGGTAAAAGGGTTAAAAGGTTTCTTTACTGCAGGTGGCTTTTAATATATATATCATTTAATTTTACTTAACAGCAGACTAAAAGAGATAAATGAATCCAAGATAATAGCAATCCTTTACATTTTTCCTCTATTCCTTGAGCCCCTCAATTTTAGGGCTGGGCTTTTTCACATTTACAGGGAAATTCCTATTCTAATGCCATGTTATGTTTTTCCAGATCACATAAAAAGATGGAGGGGTTCTCAGTTTGTTTTGCAAAATTGTGAAACTCTTATTTTTAAATGTGATAAGTAGCTATAAATTTGTGACCACTGTCATTCATAAACTTAGATTCTGGAGCTAATTAAACTTTCTATTATAAGGAACAATATTTGAAAAAACAACAACAGCAAAAGATAAACGTCCAAATCACCCGTAAACAAGAGGAACACAAAGATGCTCTACAGTGTTCCTTCCAGGCAGGTGGCTTTTAATGTGCTGTGTCAAACACAAATTCTAAGAAAAACTATTTGCAGCCCCTTTATATGTATTTTCTTGTGAGCCTGTCTGAGTATCACACATTTTTTATCTCCTTGTTATTTTTCTTAAGGTGCAAGTTCTCAAAGGTTTCTTACCTGTTTTTTAACTTTCTCTATTTTCTTTTAAATCAGATTTTGATTCCTTAAATCTTGCGAGAATCTTGTATGCCTGGCTTTCCTTTTCTTTTTTCTCTTGTCTCTTTAGGAGCTCTTCATCCTTAGAAGCCACAGGATTTATAACTTTCTCTCTGTCTCTCTCTCCTTTTTTTTTCCCCCCTGAGTATTTGGGGAAAATAAGGAAACCAAAGACGGGAATTTAGAAAAGTTTCTTCAGGCTCTTTACTTGCTGCTAGAAGTGGGTGATCATTGCGAAAGTGCATACTTTCCACTGTAGGATTGAATGTGGCATGTTACGTGACTTTTAGCTGACAACTGCTGCTCCCCAGAAGCCTTGATGGAGACAACCTATTTTCTAGCTTGGGATTGAATCATTAGGGCTTTCAGTTCACACCAAATTTGACAGAATTCGAGGGATGCTTCTGTTTCATACTCCTATAAAGTTATTTTGCCATTACTCAAGATTAAGTTATAAAATAGAGCCATTCGTAAAATGATTCATTTAAGCAGAAAGAATATATGAATTTTATGTGCAGCAAAATCTGGAATACATAGTTTTATTTATTGTGAAGCCTGCAATATTTTATTATCACTTTTTATCTTACAGGTATATCACAATATAGATGTTCATTGAAAGTAATTCTCTGAAAACTCTGCCTTTTGCTTTATAGATTTTAAATCTTCTAACAGAAAAAGAAGTAAATGTTGTTTTGCCAACACACTCCATTGTTCCAAGAACTTTCGTGCTTAAACCAGGAATGGTTCTATTTTTGGGTGCCATAGGCCGCATAGATTTTCTGCAGGTAAGGAAAGTCTGTACCACTAAGAAATGACTTAGTATTGGGATTTACTTTAAGGAAGCAGATAGAGGAACAAAACTAGGTCTTCCCTTTGTAGGGCTGATACACTATTCTTTTATGTGTATATGTTTGAAAATGTCTGTAATAAAAACTTAGGAAAAAGAAATGGAGGGAAAAAGTACTAGGTATTAAAACCTGTATTTTCAATAGGAAGTTAAGTGCCCCATTCAGCTTGGCATTAAGAAAAGATACTTTCCCTCTGATACTGTTTTATGTTGAAATGTTTTATGTGGAAATTAGAGCTCACAGCTTTAGGTACAGAGTTTATATGCATTAAATAAATTTTACACTTTTTATATCCCATGTATGTGTAATTTTATGTATTTTTTGATTTGGTATTCATTTACATAGCATCATTCAGGGACTTTAGATTATCTATAGAGTTGATCCCTGTTTTGCCAAAGTGAGGAGAAAAAGGAAAATGAAACATGGATATGTCCAACAGCACTAAATGTAACTTGCAGGCCATTGCCTATAGCAACTTCTTGGGTTTGTGTGGGTTTATAATTTGTTGGAAAGTTAGACTTTCACACTTAACACCTGTTAAACACTTAATTCCCCTTAGAGCCCATAGAATGTTAGTATTTTAAACTCAACTTTATACAGGGACATAAAGGAGACAGTATTTCCTTTTGCTTTTCAAAACAGAAGTTTATTATTATTATGATGATGATGATGATGATGATGATGATGTATCAACAAGCCTATAGAAGGAATCATAGTCCCATAAACAGGTGAAATGCACTGCTTCTGCCATATTTTGCTCCCTTTTTTAGACATTGATGTAGGTTTGATTACAGTTACCAGGGAGTTTGATTTTTTTCCTTTAATTGTACCTTGTAATGTGCTGGTTTTGCAAATTTTTCATTGTATGAAATAAATTCTTTCTTCTTTTCTTAAGGGGAGTCAGTCAGCTTGGTTTACAGTTGTGGCTTCAAACTTCCTTCCCGTGCACATTACTTCCTTGGACAGGGCAGACACTGTGTATCAGAAGCATGCGGGTCATACATTACTCAAGGTGAGGGGACAGGCTTTGATGGTTGCATAGTTGGGTTAACATCCCCTGTGACAGTCCCTCGGCCCTGTTAAGAAAGCCTTTGTTGGACAGAACCATCTTCATTACACCAACAGCTAGCTCTCCCCTTACCCTGTTCACCTTGAGGATTTTGGCTATAAAGTGAGGTGGGCTCTTACAAGAAAAGGGATGTTGGATTGGACTGATCCTAAAATAGTGACAGAGCTGGGTTTTTCTAGGTAACACTGTCCAAAACGATAGCCACATGTGGCTATTAAAGTAAATTAATTACAATTTAATAAAATTGAAAATTCAATTCTTCTGTCGTTGTGACCACTTTTCAACTGCCCAGCAGCCACGTCATTGCAGAAAGTTGTATTGGATAGTGCGGAGTGAAGAGAAGTTACAGGTATTCTCACAACTTGGGGTGCTGCTGGCATCTAGAGGGGGAGGTCAGAGAGGATGCTAACCATCCTGCAGGGCACAGGATAGCCCCCACAGCCAAGACCTACCTGGTGCAAGATGTCAGAAGTGCCGAAATTGAGAAGCTGTCGTTGGGGTGGAAAAGCTCTCCTCCCAGGTTTTTATAATGCCAGACACTTACAGATTTTCCCACCTCTTCTCTCCTGCTCTACTTCCTTCCTTCCTTGGGCTTGTGAGTAGTGTGTTAAAATTTCTCTGGTCTTAAAAAACAAAACAAAAATCAGTGTTCTGCTCATTCCTTCTCTTTACAATCTAGGTTATTCTTGCTCCTCACATCCCATCCTCTGCAGTCCCTGTTTGGCCCTTTCTGTGCCACTGAAATTGTTCTTACTAAGTCCTCCTTAGACCGAGTAGGGACTGTTTAGCTCTAACCAGACATGCTGTAGACACTGTTGGCTAGTGTATAATATTTAAGATCATTGGAGCCAGACTGGGTTCAAATCCAGCTCTGCTCCACCACTTAGCAAAGCTGTGTGACTTTAGGCAAGTTTTTTTTTATCTCTGTCCGTTGTACCTATGTCATAAGGTTGTGGAGAAGATTAAATTCCAGGGCACCGTTGTAACCACTATATAAGTATCTGTGGTGGTGGTGGTGATGATGATGGTGGGATGTATTTACTGCAAAAATAGCTGCATCCAGTGATTTACCATTAACTAAGGCTCATGCAACCGGAAGTAAGTCAAAATGCAGAATAAACACCCGCCCTTCAGTGAGGATAAAACTAACCTGACTTGAGGAGTAAATGCTTCCTTCTCTCTGGATTTCCTAAGGAAGCCACTGTGAAATTAAAACGCCATTGAGGTCACTGCCCTAAAGTGAATACTCCAGAGACATGTAGTGAGCATATAAAAGCAAATAGCAACATCGGATCTGTCGATTTTGTACCACAGAAGACCTCGGTTCTCCTGTTAAATTCATTCACTTTTTAGATAAAACAATTAATACACAAATTGTAAGATAACCCGAGACTTACAGGAAAGAAAATGTCCTTCGTTTATACAGCTCTCATAAAAATGAACACTATGGTGTTCTACCCCCATGCATCTGTGTAGTTTTCAGAATGAACAGCACTGATACTTCTCAAAGCAACAGGCAGACTTCTCTCCCAGCATAATATAAACAGTTTCTTGGGCTGCCCTGAGAATCATCCTTGCCTTCTGGTTTTGCTCACTTCCAAAGTCAAAGTCAGTCCTGCCTCTTAGTTATCACTGAAACCAGCTTTGTAGTCCAAACATAATCTGCTTCCATTAGGCTATTTTTGAGATCTTTAAGTATTTTTCCAGCTTTCAGTTTCTACTGCCCTCCTCCTACCCCACCCCACTAGAGCTGTGGTTCTCAACCAGGGTTGACTCTTACCCCAAGGGGCCATCTGGCAAAGCCTGGAGAAATTTTTGGTTTCACATCTTGGTGGATGCTGAGTAGAGAGGCCAGAAATGCTGCTAAAAGTTATGGAATGCACAGGACAGCCTCCCCCAACAGAATTATTCAGCCCAAAAGGTCAGGAGTGCTGAGGTTGAAAGCCCTGCACTAGGGAGATTTTTCCAAAATACAAAGCAAGTCACAGTATTCTTTTTTTATCCTTACCTCTTCTCTGACCTACTTAAAATTCCTTGGTAGTTCCACATTACTGAGAGAAGTCTCATAACTATTACGCACGCACAAATACACCTCCCCCCCAACAATTAAACTACAGTTCCCTGAACCCATTATCTTTTTTTCAGTTTTTGTATCTGTACATGATTCTAACCCAGAATACCTTTCCACTGAGTGACTTCAACCTGTTTTTCAAAATACTGCTCTTCATTAATGTTTTCCTTGACTGAAACACTTCCATTACTTCTTCCTCCACAACCATAGTACTTAATAGATGCCTCTCATTGCATTTCTTACCTTGTAATTAGTTTATATGTTATTTCCACTTTCTGATTTACTTGGGGGCAGGAGCCATATTGTAACATCTGTCTTAATGTCCTTACTGTAAAACACAGAGAGATCTATTAATAAGTAAGTTATTATCCAGTTCCAATCCACAGAAACACCTGTAAACATAGAAACTGAATCTTACCCATTATACATGTACCCTTGACTTGTAATGAGGTGGGGATTAATCTCCCAGTCCATCCAGGCCTATAAGAACTAAGGTGTTTGGAAGGATGTTGCCTTAATTGCCCAACGTTATTGTCTGTAGAGCTGTAAAAATAGTGTAAGCTAATAAAGCAAGATTCTGCTATCTGGAGGTTACCACCAGATGGACGCCCACATGGGGCCCTTGACACTGGAAGTGTTTGGAATGTTTAAATGTTAAACAGTTGAATATTTGAAAGGATTTTATTCTTGATACCCTCCCAGAATTATCAATGCCTTACTTAATATTAGAGTTATGAGGTGTTTAATTTGAACTTCCAAATATCTTCATTTCCTTCCCATGGAAGGTTCCAATGGGTGGAGAAGAAAGAATGGCAGGATTTCCTCCTCTTGTTGCTGAAGACATTACATTAGACGAAGGACCTGGGGAATCTGAAGCAGTGGCTGATATCAAGTTCTCCTCTGCAGGTAATTTTACACTAAGCACTTTTTAAAAGGTAAATAAAGTAGCCTTACAAACTTACAGTACATTTTTATTATAAATGTACCTTAACTGACATAGCTGAATATTTAAGAATTACATACTACTTTATTCATAAGATGCAACCTACTCTGAAAATAAATTTGTACCTTTTCGCGAATGCATAGTATGTCTTAAAAAAAAAAAACAGAGTGAAAGACAGCAGCAGCCTCCTTTAGGTCTCCATTCTGAGCTGCGTTTGGTGTTTTTGGTAAGGTGGTTGCTAACACCCATTTGTGTTCTGCCCCTTGTCTGCATAGGCTGGGTCGCAGTGACGCCTCAGTTTAAGGACAGACTGCACCTCCGAGGCTATACACCTCAAGGAACAGCACTGACGGTCCGGCCCCCACTCTTACCACATATCGTCAACGTCAAAGGAAAGCGCATCCCGAGAAGCGTGGCCTATAAAACCAAGAAGCCTCCTGCCCTTGTGTACAATCTGCAGAAAAAGAAAGAATAAGTATACGAAGCTGACCTTGCTCACATTGAAGATTAACCATATAGAACATATTACATACATTGGATTTTGTTAAATATCATGGTACTAAAGCTCCCCACCTCTTCCCCTCTCCTGTCCTTTTTAAACTACTCTGGACAGTGCTTCTCTTTAAAGTACTGAGTTTGTAAACACAAGTTACTTTTTTGTATGGTGCATATATGTGTGTGTCTGTGGCCCAAATATATCAAAAAAGGAGTTCTGCTACATTCAGTGTTCTCCTGCTACTATTTTTAACCAAGACCAGATGGCATTTCTTATTTGGAGTCTAGTTGAGAGAGCAACTTAGCAGTTGGCATATGAAAAAAGTGGCAGAAAATCAGTTTTTCCAAAATACATTGGCTTAAGTGAGATAGAAGTAAGTGGCTCTGCACCATGTAGTCATCCCAGGACCCAACAGGGAGAGCACTCCATGGCTTCCATCTCTGGGTCTAAGGTGGTTGCTCAAGTTGTCATCTTTTTGCAGCAAATGGAAAGAGAAGAGAGTGAAGAGCACACAGCTCCCCTATTTAAAAGAAAGCGGAAGATGGAAGTTGCAGACATGACATCATCCATTGGTTAACAGTTACATGGCCACACGCCCCCACAGGGAAGCTAGGGGTGTGGAGGGAAATAAGGATTTTGGATTTCTATTAAGAAGGGGAGAATAGATGATGGAGAACAATTAGAAGTTTACGTTACATAATCTGAAAGTGCCTGCAAATCTTAAGACTAAAAAGGATTCAAGTTATATCTTCCTGAAATCTGAAGTCTATTCTCCAAGTATCAGAACACTAACCATTTTATCAACATTTGCCTGTAAACATGGTATAACGTTACGTCAGTCAGAAATCTTTCCCTTTAGGTATTCCTAGTTGAGTAAGTAAGTAGTACTATAGCTCAGTACAATGACCAACTGGTCAGTCAAGTCCCAGATCTCAACGTTGAGATAAATGCTTATAGAGTAAACTGGCCTGAAACACAGATCCAGGAGCTTCCTGTAGACTCAGGTTTAGCATGACCTTCTTGACAGTCCCATGTTCTCTGTCACCGTATACACTCTAGCCTCACTCAGTCACTCATTCTAGAATAAATTAATTTTCAGATGCAACTTGTAAAAACTTTGTAGATCTCACTTCCATCATGTTTCAAGGTGAACACTATTGGCATCTTGGGGGAGGTAGTTCTTTATGAGCATCCCTCATCCCCAAATACTCAATGCCAATAGCAACTCTCCTGCCCTTATTTGGAAAATTGGAAAGTATCCCAGATGTTTCCAAACCCACCCTCTAGAGGGCGGTAGCTTCTCAAGTTGAGAAAATTATTACTGGACTTGTAGGGTTTTTTTCTTATTTTAGAGAGAATGAAATACAATTATTTTACAACTTAAAACTGTGAACATTATATTTGTATCCACTAAATACAGCTTGGAGCTTAGGCTTGAATCTTTAGATAAAATGAATAAAATACAGTAAATTTGGCATTTGTGGAGAAATACAGAACCCAAAAATTGATGCTGTCTCTACCCTGATAACTTATATGTATATTAGAAGGCAGAACAGTTTGCCTTCCTTATCTTATCCTTAAGCTTTTAGGCCTCTTGACTAGCAAAAAAAAATTTTTAATATTCATAATTTATAGTCACAGTCTCTTTTACCTCTAAAATGTAATGTAATTAATTAAAGCTTGACTTTGGCATATCTAAAAATGTTCCAAGGTATTTTGCTAGGAGTTTCAAACAGTGCAGTTTATTAAGTAAGTTTCAGTTTCCCTGGTTATATTAATGTCTTTGGGTTTTAATTTTCTCATCTATAAAATGGAATGACACTAGATATTTCTCAGTCCTAACATTTTATGATTCTCAGCAAAAATTGGCAAGAAAGACAGGAAAAGGGTGGTTACAGTACCTCAAACCAAAAAAGACCCTCTGTGCTTAGACAGTGGAGAATGGCCACTAGGATCTGCTATTAATTTACTCCACATTCTGCCAACCTAATGCAGCCTAGGATCAGTGCTGGTATATCCAACTGGTCAATAGTGGGTTTTGCTGTAAGAAAGTTTTCTTACTGTGTTGGTTTCTGAGCTTAAGTCAGTTTATGGATACTTCTTAATCCATTAACTTAGTTTGAAGACTGCCCTTGAGTCACTATCATTTACACTATGGCAGCATGCAGGAATTACTAAAGGGGAGAAATTACTGGCAAACTGTCAGCACAGCCCCCTCATTGCCACAAAACAGGTTATTTTGAGGGGCTAGGAAACCATTAAGCAAATTTATACTAGTTAGTTTACTTCAGTCTGCACCCTTGTGTCGTTCAGCATGTCATGATACCTTAAAAGGAGTAAAATATGTGCCATCAAAGGGCTTTTTGACTTCTATGTGAGATTAAATGCAGGATTTTTTTAAGTTCCACCATCTCTTTTTTGCCCTCTTTAAAACAGCAGCATGTTCTTCAGTTACCAAGACAAAGTAAAGTTTAACACATTCTATATTTTTAATCACCATAAACAGCAAGCCCTGCCAATCAATAGAACTTTAATGTGTGGTTCCCCATAGTCTAAAATTATGTTACTCGTGACACTTTCCATGATAACCAAGAAGTGAAGTACAGATGCAATCATGTGTGCTTGTGTTTCTTGACCATTCAGACACTCCTTGCAAAATGGAGATCAAGGCGAGTTTCCTACAGATGACTAACTTGGAGCTCCAGCTGTGCCAGACATGGCAGAGTGGTTACTGCTCCACTGATTAGGCACCCAGCACTCAAGCTGAGGAGAGCTGTTTTGTAGAACAGCCTCTGATCATTTACACTGGCCTCCCTCCCACTTGGCTCTGTCTCATGGAGCAATAGAATCATTTCCACTCTTTCTCAGACTGTTCCATTTTCTGTTGGCTGCTCTCCTCCTCCCAGGGGGATTGTTTTCTCTCAACTGTCAAAGAGTAATTCTTAAACAGTAAAAACAAGACTTCAGACTCATGTGAATTGAATAGATAGCACCTGCTTGCTCTTAATGTGTCTGTCATGTTGTCTGCCCATTGATGGCCTGTAGTGGCTGGGGAACAGCTGAAGGTTAATATTTCAACACCATGTTGGAATAATGCCTCACTTTTTCCCTTCATGTCAAAGACCACCCATCAATAGTCTCTCATTTAGTACAAGAGTTTCATGATCTGAACACTCGTAAGTCTACAGCATATTTAATACACCTATGGCTTAGACCTCAGGTTCCTGTTTTTCAGAAGCTTCCTTTGGGTTATTGGATAATTCTCAGAATTCACCTTCTGAGTAATCAAACTAGTGGGAGAATTTCATTGGTCTTAGTATTCTCACTGGTAGGTGCAATAGGTATGATATTAATCACAGACACCGTCAGTATCTCTGATGTAGTGTTGGTAAATTTGAGAAAACTGAGGCCACACACTCAAAAAAGACACATGTGGTAACGACCACATCATCAGGTGATTTTGGAAGTAAGAGACTGCCAAGATCCCTCTAGCTTTTCAGTAAGTGCCTGGAAAATAGCAGGTAATCATTGCATGAGTGAATGAATTCGGAGAACAAGGGCACTTTTTTGGTTGGTTGGGTTTTGCCTTCCCTGAGAAACAGCAACAGAGCAGACTCAAATTTGCTTAGGAGCACTGACACTTTTCTAGAGTTTCTTCCTTTCCTGCCTAAAGGCAAGTATCTCAGGATAATTGTATTTCAGACTATTCATGGCTGCTGTAATCCTATGCCAGCCCATATAGCTTCTTTTTTATTCCTTTATATTCTTATAGTAATAGTAACTAGCCCTTATTTTGCAGGTACAACAAGCTGGGCACTGTTTTAAGCACTTTACATGTATTAACTGAATCCTTAGAATAACCCCATGCAGGAGGTATGTACTGTTATTAACCTGCATTTAGAGTTGAGGATGCTGAGGCACAAGTAACTTGTGCATTCACACAACTAATGAGTGACAGAGCTTGATTCAAACAAACACAAACCCCAACACCCTGTGGATTTGTTTAATTATACAGTAAAACTGACTCTTTTCAATGTTTTATGGGTTTTAACATACATATAGGTTCATTTAATAACCACCGTAATCACAATACAAAACAGTTCCACCAGCACCCAGGTTTTCAACCACCAAACAACACTTCCTCTGTGTACTAGAGCCCCTCACAAGCCTAAAGCAAGAAACTATTCAGCCTTACGAGGGAAATGTGTTATTTCAGAAAAGAAAGGCAACCCACTTTGAAGACCTCCAAAGGTAATGACACAATGTCCTTGGAAACACTGTTACTGCCTCTTAATTCCCTTTCTAGCTTCCTTTGAATCCTCCCATTTACAATTCCACCCTGAGAATATTTCTCAAAGCCAGTATGTGCATGCCTGTGTGCGTGTGTATCTGATGTGCTACACCCTTGCTGTCTTACTCCAGCAATGCTGCCTAAACCTAAACTGGGGTCCCACAGTAATTTCCGTG